GACGCGCCCTCCACCAACGCGACCGAAGGGCCCTCCACCAACGAGACAGAAGGGCCCTCCACCAACGCGACAGAAGGGCCCTCCACCAACGCGACAGAAGGGCCCTCCACCAACGCGACAGAAGGGCCCTCCAACAACACGACAGAAGCACCCCCCAACACTGGTTCTACACCTACATCACAAGTGACTTCCAGCGGTAGGTACCCTTTCTTCATCAGAGACCAGCACTCCCAAACCTTGGTAAGAGTGGCCCCCTCAGTGACTCCTCTCTGAGGGCACATAACAGTTGTGGAGCATGGTAGTTAAGTGTATGCTGGTGGGGAAGGGAAATAGGCATAAAAACATTGAGTTTCTTTGCATATGAACCATGCACTTAAAACCTCAGTCACAAGAGCTAGTAGGCAGAGACCCTAATACATTGCCTCAGTTCCATCCTGTTCTTTTCTTCCTGCTATTTGCCAGATGTAGAATATTTTTTATGTACTTGATCTTTGTGAAAGATACTCTGGGAAATTTTTGGACACAATTTCAGGCTTCTCTGAGAAGCCCAGGTTCAAATAAGCACTGGCTTCCAGCCATATTGTCTACCTAAGGACCAAGTCAGTGCTACCCTGACTTCAGGTCCTGGCTAATCTCAATTTGAAAATTGAACCAAGCCACAGAATTTAAACCTGAAGAATGAGAAGCCAAAGAACAGCAATGCTCAGACAGTCCTAGGCATGACCAGACAATTGTCCAAATAACATGTTTTGGGGGATACTGAAAAATGACAACTGACTTTAACCTGAAGCTATTGAAACAGAAATCACCTGTCTCATTTCCCTAAGCTTGGTCTAGAACAGGTGCCAGAAACTTGAGCAGCAAAGGCCAAATAGAAACTATTTCAGGCTTTGTGGCCTATGTAGTCTCTGTTGCAACTGCTACACTTTTTAACATGAAATCAGACATATCAACACATAATGAATGAGCTTAGCTCTTTTCCAATAACACTGTGCTTGTAAAACCAGAGCATTGGTCAGATATGGTTCATGAGCCATAGTTTGCCAACCCCTGATCTAGAAGAATCCTCTTACTTTAGAACTTGAAGAGTCTAGATAAACCATGTCCTCCTCAGATAGTTAATCTGAGGACCAGTGACTTGTCCAAGGTCAAAGATCAAGCTGGTGTCTTCCTAAGCATCTTTTTCTCCTCTCCCTTCCTCTTTGTCCTCTTCACCACCCCCCTCCTTCAGCAGGTTCTCACCAAATGGCCCAGGCTGACCTTGAACTTGTAATCCTCTTGCCTTAGCCTCCCAAGTTGCTGGTATTAGAGGCAGGTGCCTCTTTCTCTACACATATTTCTGATGGCTTTCCCAGTATTTGTTGGTAAAGCTAAGAAATGGGTGATTAAGCAAAGAAAGTCCAGATCCTGTATCTAGACTATTCTCAGATTTCTTACACTTGGAGGGGTCATTCTAAAGTCTGCAGGTGGCTCACAGCTACACCATCAGCTCTAGTAGAATCAGGAAAGGGAGCATCTCTGAGCTGTTCTGCTTCCCCAAACATCCTCTCAGATGAAGGCAGTTTTCTGTGTCCTGGCCCACCACAAGTGTGGCATATGGGGCAAATCATGTCTCTCTTGGTATTCATCTGTAATAAGGTGTGGCCAAACTAAATTGTCACCAAAATCCCTTCCAGCTGTAACATCCTGTGACTTGATCAATTCCTGACTACAGAACAAGCTAACAAGCCTGTCCTTCATTGTTGCAGAGATAGCACACCAAGAATGACTTGTCTGGTATCTCCAGAAAGGAACTGCACTCAATTTCTTCCTTAGGACTTTCCAAATTCTCCTTGAAGTTTGTCTGAGGCTCTTTTTTTTTTTTTTTTTAAGCCATTTACTTTACTTAGAATACTAGTTCATGTTTTTTTTTGTTTTTTGTTTTTTTTGTACCAGGGATTGAACCCAGGGGTGCTTAACTGCTGAGCCACATCTCCAGCCCTCACCCCCTTTCTTTTTTTAATGATTTATTTAGAGACAGGGTCTTGCTAAGTTGCTTAGGGCCTCACTAGGTTGCTGAGGCTGGCTTTGAACTTTTGATCTTCCTGCCTCAGCCTCCCAAGGCACCAGGATTATAGACATGCACCCCCACGCCCAATTCTGGTTCATGCTTTATTACAGGGGTGATGATTACTCTTGTTTATGGGGTAATGAATGTGCCTCCTTTTGTCCCATATAGCCTATATTTTTTCTTCTCCCTTTAAAAAAATTAGATTTTATTTTCGGAGCAATTTTAGATTCATAGCAAAATTGAGAGGAAGGCATGGAGGTCTCCCACATACCCCCTGCCCCTACGTATGTGTGTTATCAACATTGCCCACCAAAGGGGTACGTACATTGGTTACAATAGTGGCCCTACATTGACACATCATTAAGAAAGACCGTTGTTTACATTAGTGCATTTATGGGTCTGGATAAATGTTTAATGACAGCTGTCCGTCATTAGAGTATCATATAGAGTAGTTTCACTGCCCTGAAAGTCCTCTGTACTGTCTTTCACTTGGTAACATGCAAAAGTCCTCTGTCTTTTCATGGCTCAATAGCTTATTTCTTTTTAGTGCTGAATAGTGATCTGGTGCCTGGATGCACTACAGTTTAATCCCTTTCCCTACTACAGGACATCTCAGTTGCTTCCAAGTTTTGGTAATCATGAATCAAAAGCTGCTGTCAACATCTATGTGCAGGGTTTTGTGTGAGCATGTTTCTAACTCCTTTAGGTAAATAGCAAGGAGCATGATTGTTCGATCATATGTTGAGCATGTTTAGAAACTGCCAAATTGTCTTCCAAAGTAGCTGACATTTTACACTTCCTTTGACAAAGAATGAGAGTTCTTGTTCTTGGTGAGAACTCCACCAAGAGTTGTTTGATTCATTATTTAATTATTTATTTACTTTTTGCCATCTGAAGGATCAAACCCCAGGGTCCCAGGCATGCTAGGCAAGTGTTCTACCATTGAGCTACACTGGGAAGCCATTTAATTTTTAAATTTTATTTATTTATTTATTGTTACTGGGGATTGAACCTAGGAGTGCTCTACCATCCCCAGTCCTAGGCTGGCCTTCAAATTATGATCCTCTTGCCTCAGCCTCCTGAATTGCTGGGATTACAGGCCTATACCACTGTGCCCAGCTGTCTTTTTTTTTTAAATAAAGTAAATTAGGATCATGATTATCAAAAAAGCAGCTCCAACAGGGCAAAATATGTGCAATAAAAATAAAATCTCCCTTCTATCCTAAACCTCTAAGCCCTCAGTGGCCAATTTCTTGTGTCTTCCTCCAGAAATAATCTATGCAAATACAAAGCATATATATTTGTGTGTTTGTGTCCCCTTTTTAATCACAAAAGAAAGTATGTTACACATAACATATTAAATATATATATATATAATATATATATATACACACACACACACACATAACTTGTGTATAGCTTTTTTAAAAACCAACTAGCCTATCTACCATAGGATTTTAAGAATCTCAAGCTGTCTCCAAAGGGTATCGAACACTTAAGCTATCCTGATATCAAAATTCAGAATTCTTCCTGATGGAAGGGAAGAAGCTGGCCAACCAAGATCAACATTTGGCCCCTCCTCAGATCTCATCAATTCTTTGGAAAGAAGGAAGACACTGTACCCTGCCTGGCCCAGGAGACTTGTCCACTGGCACAGAAGCCATTGCAATATTATTCTCACCATTTTTTGAGGCATCCACGCAGAAAGCCAGAGGCTGGAGTGTCCCCTCACCACCTCCCTTAGAATGTCCCCTGGGTTCATCCCTGTTTCCTCCTTTACTGTCTCATTCCTTTCCTCATGGATATGTACACCAGGCATGGTAGCCAAACTAGGACATCTAGTTTCTTTTTGGAGCTTCTTGAGTGTTCCCTCCCTACAAAGCAATCATTCACATCATCCTAAAAAAAAAAAAAAAAAAAAAAAAACCCTTTACCCAAATGGTTTTGGGGGGGGGGGGTCTGACTTAGCATTAGAGAACTAGGTACTGAGGTTTTGGAGGGTCCTGGAAATCTGAAGATTCCCAACTCCTAGGAATTAGAAGGCTCTATCGATTTCTCTTTCTTCCTCAAGCAGGCCTTTGTCCACCAACTTGTAATCTTTGCCATCGATAAGCTCTTGGCCCCAAATTCCAGCACCAAACTCCCCAGAGACAGAAAACTGCATTGGTTTCTAGCTCTCTTAAGAGTGTGCTACGGAGTCACACAGCCCGGGAATGGAGACCACCCAGGAGGGAGGCATGAGGATTGACCACTGTGTTTCTAAATGTTATTTGCTGTCATTTCTGTGGACTTCTAATGTCTTTCTTCCATCTAAGTTTCCAGCGATCCTTGCCAAGTAAGACCCTGTGGAGGTGGTGCTGCCTGCGTTAACCTGCATAACAACGCGTTCTGCCTGTGTGCAGAAGGGTATTACTACAGCACTTCCTCATGTCTGAAAGGTGAGTGGCCAGGATGTGCCAGGGCAGGGCTCCATCTCCTACCTAAAGTGGAATAGAAAACTCAAAACCATGGCAAACAGAGGCTCCAGAATATTAGAGGCAGAAGAGAATTGGAGGCAACCAAGGCCAGACAAATAGGGAAAGGGTCTCCTTTGTCCTGGGTGACTCAATAGGAGAGGAGAGGGACCAGGTCAGATTTGCGAGATAGGCCTAAGGGTCAGGGGTGCCATCTGCTGTTGGAGAGAAACTTTTGTGGCAACAAAATGAAGTGATAGCTGTTGATGCCCCTGGAAAACTACTGAAAGACCACACAACTATGAAGTGTTAGTCTACAAAGCCCTGTTACAACAAGGGGACAGCAGAAGAAGGTGACATGGCTTGGAAGTCTGGTCTGTGACTGTGGCTCAGTTTTCTGGCACAGGATCTGCTTGTTTCTTGATAGCAAAGCCCCCTATTAGAGTGTAACAGCCTTCTAGCTCTGGAAATTAACTTTTGAGGACACAACAATATACTCTTACCTTCGTATGTTTCTGGTTAGATGACCTGGTTGCTCTGCGGCTCAAGGCCTGTCTGTCTGAAATTCACATTTTTTTTTCTGTTTAATAAATGAGAAATATTATATAGGAAATGAATGCATTGTATTGCCCACAGGAGTTAGGGATATGCCAAAAGCCAAACAAAATCCATATTTATAGCACTAAGAATTTTATTTCTGGGAATTCGCTCTAAGTAAATGACTCCAGAAAAGGCTTATGCAAAAAGATGTCCATTGCAACCATCCCCCTGCCCTTTACACAATGAAAAGTGCCAAGTCCAATAACCACCACCACAAATGACCACATCAGCAAAGGGGACATATACTTTATAGAATGTTATGTAGACTTTAAAAATGGTAGTTATGAAGATGAGGAAATGATTTGAAAAACTTGTTGATGTAATAATGAGTAAAAGTGAGGTATGTCATAAACTTGGTATTATAACCATGTAAACCTTGAGGGGTGGAGGGGGAAGAAATATACCAAATGAAAATGGCCAAGCTAGGTTAGGGGGTATGATGAGTAATTTTTAAAAAATACTTATAGTCTTCCTGTAGTGTCATCATATAATGTTAACAATTAAAAAAATAATGATAATCAATGTTTTATAACAAATTGGAAATGACTCTCTTTGTGTTAAATAGTACAGAAAGATTCTGCTTGATTTTCAGGAAAGACATTCCCTGGAGAGATTACAGTACAAGTCCGAGATACAACTGGGTTGGACAATAAGAATTCTGTAGCCTATGAACGCTTACATGATGACATAATTAGCTTCGTAAGTATTTTCTGTAAGTCCTTTCTGTAGAAGTGTTCTTTGTTCTCACACTGAGCTACAGAGTGTGGGACTGGTCTTCATGTGGGACACACTGGGACAGTTGTGTCAGTTGTTAAATAGTGAAACATACCCCTCCTGGTTGGTGGACAGCTACTACCACTGCCCTCTTGCTCAGAATCCCTTCCTGAGGCCCTGGGACCTCCCTGCTGGGCTTGTACCTAGAGGCAGAGCAGCTAGCAAAGCAGAGGGTCTAGGGAAGCCTGCTCCTGCCATAGTTTTAAATGGACAGGAAATAATATAGTGGTGTCTTAAAATAAATTATTTCAGAGTGGGTTAGGATGTATCTTAGTGGTAGAGCACGTTCCTAGCATGAGAAAGGCCTTGGGTTTAATCTCCAGTACTATAAATAATTTAAAAATGCATAAAGAAATAATCATTTTGGACTGGGATTGTAGCTCAATAATACCTGCTTAGCATATATGAGACCCTAGATTCAATGTCTAGCACTGAAAAAAATAAAATAAAATTTCCACATCATGGAGAGAAAAAATTAAAGATTTTTTTTTTTTTGGCTTTTCACATTCAAATTTGCATGTATTTCTGTACTAGTCTGGCTTTTAAAAAAAACCTATAGGAGGGATTACATCTGAATTTATAAGTATTATATTTTCTTTCTATTGTCAAAAATATTGAAATGAATCAGTTTCTTTTCAGTTAGATTCTTATGTGTAGGGTGTGGGAATGGAGAGATCGGGTATCTCTATTCTGGAATCATGTGTTAGGCCAGAAAGAACTTGCAGGCAACATCCCACCAATATTTCTCAAAGTTTAATTTTAAAGGGAATAATACCAGCCTTAAGTATTTCTTAGGTCTCTAGTTGGGGAAAAAGAAAAAAAAACTTTAATTTTGTTTTGTTTTGTTTTGTTATTGGGGATTGAAACTCAGGGCATTTTACCATTGAATTACATCCCCAGCCCAAAACAAAACAAAAATGTTTTATTTTGAGGCAGGATGATGATGATGATGATAATGATGATGATGATTACTGAGGCTGGCCTCAAATTTGTGATTCTCCTGCCTCAGCCTCCCTAGTCTCTGGAATGACCAGCAGGTACCACCACAACCTTGTCAGTAGAAAAATACTTTTAAAGACTAAATTCTTGTTCTATGATAATATCTTTCCACTTGAAATTATATCAATACAAAAGGATTTGGTATTATTTTAGAACTGATAAAGTACAAAAAATTATTTTTGAAACGATTCCACAGGTTGTGCAGCAAGAGCTAGTGTTCCTGGCTGCACAGCCAGTACCTAGCAATGCTAAAACCCATGGCCTCGCTGTCACAATTTTGCTCCTGTCCCTTTCCATCCACCTCTGCATGATGGGCCATCTTGCAGTGACTTGCCCTGTTATCTTGGATCGGCATCCAAATTTGCCAGCTTAGGTGCTATTCATATATTGTAGGTGACAACAGCATCATGGTCCTACCACCAGGGAACCTCCAGATTGCCTCGAGTGGCTTTACTGAGCACTACTGCTGTGGCCACCATGTTCACCAGATTTTGCTTTGGGTCTGAGTGTCACACATGCCTTCTCCACTTTACAGGGCTTGTCCCCTGGTCTTCCAAGTCAGTTTACAGACTTGAGCTCAGCCTGGGCTGGATATTCCTGGAGGAACCAGTAAAGAGATGGAGCATTCTCATAGTTTCAAAGGGATCTTCAATCCAAAAGGGATATACCAGAACTCCCTCGAAACCCCTGGAGCAGAGTTAGGAAAACTGAGACAACCTAATTTCTTCAGGGCTGTCTTAATAGACTTATGGGACAGTTCCAGATCAGGCCATGATTTTTTACCTGTTAGGGTAAAAAACAGACCAACTGGGCAGTCTGCAGAGGGGTTTGGGGTTTCTCAGTGGGGGGGCTATTTTTGCATTCTACAGGCAATGATCCTAATTCTGAAAACAGCCCTGCAGGGGAGATAGTACTATTATGCCCATTTTACAGATGTGGTAACTGAAAATCAGGAAAGGTGAGTTACTGACTGAAAGTCATCCATTTGATTAGTGGAGGAGGTCGAGAATTGAACCTAGAGCTGCCTGCCCACAGGACTGCCTCTGCTTCTCCTCACTTGCTGACTGTGGTGCCAGCAGGCCTGTGTGGACAGTTCCTGTCTTCTTGCCCAACCTGGCAGCCACAGGTTAGGAGATGCTTCCTCAGAGAATGACATCGAAGGAAAAAAAGAAGAGGAAACACATTTTCTTTCATATTAGATACTAATTTCTCAAGCGTTTCTTTGGAATTAAGAGATTTCTTTGGAATGACAGGCTTACAAAACCAGGTATCTCTATGGCGCTTGCCTCTCTCAACTCCACAGCATGCTCCCCTACCTGATCATAAGACTGAGAGAGCCCTAGCTTAATGTCCCCTAGCATAATGCCTTGGGCAAGGGAGGCAAATATATGTTCCTTGGATAAATTGATAAATGCATGAAGCACATATATAGATAAAACTAACGAATACACAAAACTTAAGTCAAAATAAGTCACCTTTTTTTTTTCAGTTCTGGGGATCAAACCCAGGGCCACACACATGCTAGGCAATCACTTTACTACTGAGCTACAACCCCAACCAGTCACCTTATTTTTAAGAGTAAGATAATTGATTTGGCTAAGTGTTTTAGGTTTCCATCTTTTTCCTGGGTAACTCTGAGTTATATTAGACTCTTGTTACTTCATAGCAAAGATTACTGTTAGCAAGCAAAGAATAAATAATTTGCTGTGATAAACCATATATATTTAATTTTTTTTCAACTTGTTTTTAAATCTGTTCTCTGCCACAGTTTCAAAATGTATTTGGCCATTCTGATTACGGACAGACTGTGATTCTTCAAGTGAGGTAAGTTTGCTATGGACCAAAGGGGTGCTTTGGAGGCAGTGTGTGTTTGCCTCACTTTTGGTCTTCTCTTGAGTTCGTCATGTGACTCTAAGGCCCTCTGGTGGCAAGTCCAAGTCAAGAAGGGGACTTTGTGCCTTGCTCCTGAGTTTTTTTGGTTTTTGGTTTTTTTGTAGTTGTAGATGGACAGCATGCCTTTATTTTATTTATTTTTGTATGCCGTGCTAAGGATCAAACCCAGTGCCTCACACATGCTAGGCGAGTGCTCTGCCACTGAGCCCCAGCCCCAGCCCTCGCCTTGCCTTTGACTCTGGCCAGGACAGGCAGGGTATGGCCTGGAGAAGGAGGATGCTCATGGCTACTTAGCAACTGGAGCACGTGGTCCCAGGCATCATCGGCACCAGTTTGTTTGGTCTGATCTCCTCAGCTGCAAACCATACTGAGTCAGTCCTTGGGATGTGCTTTCCAGGATGCCGGGGAAGGAGAAGTGGCTCGTGGTCATCTCCTCTCTCATATGGGGTTGTGAGGGGACAAGAACATGCAGATCACACACCTGACTTCTGAAGGGCCCATAGTGAGCTCTTCCTGCTCTAAGAACAGCATTTATTTGTGCACTTAGATATATAATGACAAATACTCAGTGCTATTTTGAGACAAGAAAAGGCAGAGGATTCTCAGGAAGTTAACAATTCTATCTGTGTTCTTTAATGCATATTAATATGCAAGTAGTCAGGCCAAGGAAAGAATGCTCTGAGATGAATGAAGCTGTGCAGAAAAGGAAGCACAGTGTAATATTTATGTTTGAAGTTTTTTTTATTGTGTTTATTCTGTGAGTTATGTCAAATCCTTTGTGGAATAAGATACAGTATACATATAGACAGCTGGGCTTCTGTATCTGTGGATTATACATTTGAGGAGTCATCTGGAGATAAAAATATTTGAAAAAAAAATTGGATCTGTACTGAACATGCACTGACTTTGTCATCATTCCATAAACAATGTAGAATAATAGTGATTTCCATAGCATTTACTTTGCATTTGGTATTATAAATAATCTAGAGATAATTTAAGGAATATGAGAGGATGTCTGTAGATTATCCAAATACTAGGCCATTTTATATAAGGGACTTGAGCACTTTCAGATTTGAGTGTCCACCAGGCGACTCCTTCCAAGGGTCCTGGAAGCAATTCCCCCAAAGATACTGAGGGTCTGTATATGTGTTAAAAGTTTCAGAGAGCCGGGTGCGGTGGCACATGTTTGTAATCTCAGTGGCTCTGGAGGCTGAGGCGGGAGGATCACTGGTTCAAAGCCAGCCTCAGCAAAGGCAAGGCACTAAGCAACTCAGTGAGACTCTGTCTCTAAATAAAATACAAACAAGGGCTGGGGATGTGGCTCAGTGATTGAGAGCCCCTGGGTTCAATCCCTGGTACAAAAAAAAAAAAAAATCAGAGAAGCCTTCCTAAAGGTGGTAGATTCTGAGCTGGGTCTTGCCTGGGGGCAAGTCTGACTGGCAGGCAGAGGTACAGAGTTTGCATGGTCAGAAGCTGGCAGAGAGCAGAAAGGTTGGGCCCAAACACAGGGTTCTGAAGCTGGAGGACTACAAACTGTTCCAGGATTTTAGGCTTGGTTTAGTGGATGACAGCCGTTTCCTATAGAGGATGACTGGTTGGAAACAAGAATGGTGAGGGGCAGCTGAATCAGCAAAACTTGGGCTTTGATCCTGGCCTTAGCACTTCTTCAATGGATGACAGCTCAGGTGTTTTAACCTTTGCTATCTCCTCCCAGCACCTGGTGAGGAGTCAATGAGATAACATTGGGGAGATTCCTTGCACATAGTTGATTTCAACACTGGTCTGTTTCCTTTTCAAAAAAATGGGACCTTGCAGTGTCATGGAGACTGGGTCCCATAGTCCCCCAAATTGTGGCATTCCTTTTATTCTTCAGGAGTTACTAGAAAGGAACCATGAGCAGTAAGAGGCAAACCTTTCCCTGTTATTCCAGGTCTTGCCTATGAAGACATTTCTTAAACTCCAGCTCAAACTCTCTACTACTCTACAAACATTAGTCTTAGTAGGATACTCAGAATTTCTCTCCTTCAAATTTCTCTTGGAATAGAAGAGAAAACTCAGGCTCAGAGAAATTATGACTGGCCTTGGGCCACCAAAGATAGGGGCAAGTTTGGGTCTTGCTAAGTTGCTCAGGGCTTTGCTAAGTTGCCCAGGCTGACTTTGAACTTGTGATCCTTCTGTCTCAGGTTCCTGTGTACCCGGATTACAGGCGTGTGTCACTGCACCTAGCTTTTAAGAGACGTAGTCTTCTTCTACCGAAAATGACAATTTACTATTTCAGATGTTACTTGTTCTACTTGTAGTTAGCTCTAGGCTCCTAAATCCTAAAAATGGTTAACCATTATTTTGTCAAAAACGAATATCAACAATTTTCCTAAGTGTACTCCAAGAGGACATAATTCTTTCCATGGGCTTCCTCTGAACACATACAGACCTCCAGGCTGCAAATCTGCTGTCTTCTGGTATGTGGCTCTGGGCCTTCATATTGAGGACCCACTGTGGAGACTGGACAGTGCGTCAGGACTAGGGCTGGGAGATCTGTGCCTCTAGGAAGTTAGAAGACCTGTTTGTTGACCCTTCAGTTCAATTCACCAAGTTGACAGATTTGTTTCATTTTTAGCTTACGCCCTTCTCTGTCAGGAAGATCTGAAATGCGTGCTGATATGAAGCTTGTTGATGCTTCAGTAATAAACATTTTAAAAGAGAATACAACTCTAACTGAAAAAGATGTAAATGATGAGATTGAGAAGGCAGTCAAGAAAAACAATTCTATACAAAGTTATAATCGTAAGTATTAAATAATTTCCCTCGAATTTTACCTAGAGTTCTACTTACACTTTGGTAAACCTTTACATTACACTACATGTGAGGAGGGGGTAAGAACTATAGAAGTGAATCATCAGGTGTCTCCAAATTTCCTTTTAATTAGTCCATTCTTTCTCCCTTTCCCTTCTTCTCACTTACCTTCTCCAGTTTCCTAACCATCTCCAAGTCATCAACTGACCAATAAATTTGTTCTTCCCTTGGAAAGTATAAATGACCAGACACATCATCTCTGGACAGGGAAAGATGAGAAGAGGAAGAATAAGAAGGCTTGAGCCAAGTTATTGTTTTCTAAATGTTATGAAAACTTCACCCGTACTGTTTTCCCTTTAGGTTGATGCATGGGTAGCTGTAACTCCCACTTGCCATGTCACCAACCGTTTCAAAGCCTAGTGGCTGGCCTAAAAATACCTCCATTTATTTCTTGCAACTCCATAATTCTGTGGGTCAGAACTTGATATGGGCTCCACTGGAAAGTTCTGCTGGCCTAGGCCAGGCTTGACGGATCTCTGCTAGACTTGCTTAAGCATCTGCCTTTAGCTGCTGGATCAGTTGGAGACTGGCTGATCTCAGATGGCTCTGTGGGTGGTTCCTCTCTGCTCCACCTGGTCTCTCCTCCTCCAGCAGGCTAGTCTACAGGGATTAATGCAGCAAGAGGGTATAGTTCAGTGCACATGTGTTTCTCCAGTCTCTGCTTACATTGCATTTACAACTGTCCTAATGACCAGAGCAATTCACATGACCGAATCCAGCATGGAAGGGCCCTATGGAAGGGCACAGAGTCAGAAAGGCAGTCAACCCATCCCTGCAGCCATAGGAAACTCCTCTCCTTGGAAGTGACCGTTAGGGCCAGCCCCCGTGGAGATACAAGTGCTGTTTAGGCCTGTTGCCAGAGGCCTTGGTTGAGCCACAGTGAATTTAATTTCCTTGTAGCCTTTGACACCAACATCCTTCTCTTCTTCTAGTCCCCTTCTTCCTGAGCCCCCACCCACCATTCTCCAACCCCCTTCCTGCCTCCTTCAGACTCATCTGTCTTTTTTGTCCAACATTCATTCCCTACTCTTTTACTTTTTTTTAGTGATTGTAACCTCCCTGACCTTGTTTGTTTGTAAAACTCATTTCTGTTTCTGCAAATACAAATCCTGCTCACTTATAATTTTCTAACGCTTTTTCTCTTTCCTCGAGATTTTTACAATGATTCTCACAATGTCCCAGGACTTGGAGTTATAAATGCTCTGTGATAAAATTCTTATAACTGATTGGAAAATATGGGGGCTCTTTTTCTGTACCTCCTTCTTGGGGTCCGATTGCCTTTTAACAACCCCCATTCAATTCTTTTCCAGCTAAATATAATTTCTGGGACTGGGGCTGTAGCTCAGTGGTAGAGTACTCGCCTAGCACGTGTGAGGCCCTGGGTTCAATCCTCAGCACCACATAAAATAAATAACTAGAATAAAGGTATTGCGGTGAAAAAAATCAAAAAATAATAAAATAAATATAATTTCCTTGCAAAAGAGACTGGAGAAAAACAGTCATGGAGCTATTCTGTCTTTTTCATGTCTTCTGTCAACAATACATGAGTCAGCCCTGGCCTTCCCATAAGCCACTTACCCCTCCCATAGACACACCCACCCCTCTACTTATTTGCTCACTAAAAGGGAAACCTTTTAACCCTTCTTACTTTGCCATTGGAGTTTTTTGTTGTTGCTTTATTTTGGATTATGTTTGTGGCAAGCCGGAGGTCATCTGAGGCTCAACTTTCTCTGACACATTTTTAAATATTTCATCTTTGGTGATGGGACCCTCTTTCTGTACTTTGTTTTTTCTCATTTGAGAGCTTCCTGTGAAAATAACACTAATTTTTACATTATCTCCTTCCTGCAAGCCCCAGAGTTTCTACAGCGTCTTTTTGTAGCTTGCACATTGAGAATTTACATTTTCAAAGCTTTTCACCTTTTTGAACTACTTTCTTCTTCCAGAATCGCATGCCATGGAATTAGCACTTCTTTCTTTCTGAATGTTTCAATATTTACTGTCTCTCCAAGTCTACAGTATGCATCTGTCTGTTTCCTTGCATCTCTCTCTGACCGTCTCTTGGTCCTTATCTCCTAAGAGGCCCATCTCTTCTACCTGCCAATCATTTTGTAGGGGTTAGGATTTTGGCTAAGAGTAGCAATCAGATCCTTTAGCACACTCTGCTTTTGACTAGATGACACTTGCAACAAGTGTGAAGAAGTTGAGGGTCCCCTTCAGCATGCATACTGACCACTCAGAGTGGTTGCCAGCTAAAAACACTTGTGCCCTCCTCAAGATAATGCTGGGGTCGCCATGCAGTTCTCTTGTTTGGGCTTTGCAGAGTGATGGTGTTGGCTACCAGTCCTGACATACTTGAAACCATTTGGCTCTAGCCCTGAAAGTTGCTATTTAGACAACCCCTCTCAATACTTCCTTCCACTCTGAAACCAGGCATTCCCTCCTAGACACACTGACAAAATGCCAAATGGTGTCATCTCGAGGTAGCTTCGAGAACAAACCAGCCAGCCACGTGGAAGTGAGAGCCTCATAACTCTTAAGAGGAAGACAACTTTTCCTGCTGTCCAGACTCAGTGGCAAAAGTAGATGGTCTCTTCTGTGCCCAAAGGTGTAGATTCTCATTCTCTAGATTTTAACTGGAGTTATTTTCAAGTTGCAGTTGAGGAAGGAAGGTCAGTTACAGTTTGAGATGTTTAGAGAGCAATCACATCACTTTTCTACCTGCATTTATTCTCTCCTCCAAATCCATTCTCAAATTCATCTTTTTATCCCTAAAGCTTGCCAGTCCACTTCAAGACTACTCTTCCTGCCCACCCACCTCTGGCCTTCAGTGCTGGGCATGATGTGCTATGCAATGCCCTACTTTTTTTTTGTTTTGTTACTGGGAATTGAATCCAGGGGCACTTAACCACAGAGCCACATCCACAGCCCTTTTTGTTATTTTATTTAGAGTCAGGGTCTCACTGAGTTGCTTAGGCTAAGTTGCTGAGGCTGACTTTAACTCACAATCCTCCTGCTTCAGCCTCCCAAGCTGCTAGAATTACAGGCGTGCACCCCCACCTCCAGCTATGCTAACATTCTTTTTTTTTTTTTTTTTTTTTGAGATTTTTAATATTTATTTTTTAGTTCTCGGCGGACACAACATCTTTGTTGGTATGTGGTGCTGAGAATCGAACCCGGGCCGCACGCATGCCAGGCGAGCGCGCTACCGCTTGAGCCACATCCCCAGCCCCTATGCTAACATTCTTAAAGGATTGCTTTCTCATGCCAGGCTTCTGCTTAAAATCTACCAAAGAATTCTTTGGCTTATAGAATCAAATTGGGTGTCTTTAACCTGACATCCAAACTCTGCTATACCTATGAATGAACAAGACAATGAGATTTGTTGAAGAGCCTGGCAAGGGCACTGTCATTTACACTAGCTCACTCCATTCTCCTCATAATCAGGGGGAACAAGTATTATTATCCCCCTTATAGATGGAGGGAACTTGGACTCACCCCAAATCAAATATTGAATAGAGAACCTGCAACCAATAAACATCAAAGACATCCGTTCTGGGTTTTCTTCCACCTCTCTAAACTCCCTCTCCTTACCACAAGCACAGCTCGCTGCCCCCTGACAAGAAATCTGGGCTCCTTTTCATGCCTGTTTACTCCATTTAAACAGACTTTGCCTCTCCCTGGTTGTTCAAATCTTCCTATCTTTAAAGACTTATTCAATTTCCTCCTTCCCTGTGTTGTTATCTTGAGCTATTTGAGCCACTAAATTCTTCTTGCCTTTGAAGTCTGAACCACAAAGCCTAGAGCTGAATTGTGTGTTGCTTGACGTGACTCTGTGACTCTATAAAGATGGAGCCTAATAGATGGCTTCAGCGGCTCTGGACAGAGAAAGGTGCGGAAGAGATTTTGAACTTGAGCTTTATTGCTTGGATGGAATTAACTTAAACTGAATAATGAAGAGAGGATGGGGAGGGGCCAGGTTTCAGAATCCGAGATTTTCATTTGTTAAATCCCAAAATGTATTAAAAGAAAAATACAACAACGATGGGGGGAGGGAGTGTTTTCACAAATTATCTACTATCGGGCTGGGGATGTGGCTCAAGCGCTACCGCGCTCGCCTGGCATGCGTGTGGCCCGGGTTCGATCCTCAGCACCACATACAAACAAAGATGTTGTGTCCGCCGAAAACTAAAAAATAAGTATTAAAAATTCTCTCTCTCTCTCTTAAAAAAAAAACAAATTATCTACTATCTTGCTGAATATATTTTTGAATTGTTTGGCCTCTCTCAGCTATAGATTCATGTGAATTTTATGGTTGTGTGAAGAAGGATCAAGATTGCAGCAATAGTTTACAATGTGAATGCAAACCTGGGCTGCAGAGACCCAACATGCTGTCCCCTTATTGTCTTCGTAAGTGTTCCACCCACTTCTAAATGTTCTTCACAATGCTCATGTTCCCGCCACCTTTTGCGTTTGCAAAGTACAAATGTCCATGTGCATTCCAGTGACTGAGTAATGTGAATTTGGGCTTTAGATCTATGGCCAGGGTGGGGGAATGGGTGAAGCAGCATGTGGGCAGCTTGTCATGTGTGGAGCCAAGGGGTACTTCCTTTTACTTAGAAAAAGCAATGTGAAAAAAAAAATCTGTGTTGTCACATGTACATTGGGGTTAAAGAGATTGTTTCTGAAAATTACCTATAAATCCCTCTGTTTTGAAGCTCTTGAGTGTTCTGCAAACTGCAGTGCAGAGTTTAATAAGCAATGCATAAAGAAGGAGAACAAAGAGCTTCAATGCGTGTGCCTGCCAGACTTCCAGGGAGATGCTAATGACGTCTGTCAAGCGTAAGAGAAATCTCTCCATTTTTACTTTGCCATTGCTGGAGCTAGGCAGAGAGGATAGATCTTGCAACATACATGGGCTTAGACTCAGGAAGTTGGGGAGCTGGTGTAGGGTAGGAGGTATGAAGCTGCTGCTGACATTTCCTGGTGCCAGGAACCACACTAGGGAGTACCAATCACATAACAACTATCAGAAGCTTATCAGTTACCTATTTTCAGATGAGGGACCTGAAACTGAATATAAATGACATGCCCTTGCTCACAGGGGAGCAAACAGGTGGCAGCACCCTGTGGTGTCACCCCTTGCAAGGTGACGCCATAACTTTTAGGTTCAACTTTAACTAAATTGCTGAGTCTGCCTGGAGTTCAGATGAGGCAGGAAGAACACAAGCCAGTGAGACCACCCAGGATTGTATGCCACTCATCCTTCCAGAGCCCCATGGATGGGGCTCTCCTGGAAGAAAGGGAGTGGGAGAAAGATGAGAGAAGGAGAAGGAGCAAAGGAATGCAGAATGAAAGGAAGAAATGGAGATGTGGGTGGGAACTCCAGCGTGCTCCCCACACGGGCTCATGAACATGGCTTCCTGTTTCTCACTCTATTCCAGGTGTCCATTTGGCTATGGTGGTGTGGACTGCAAAGACCGTGAGTATGAGTCTTGCTATTATAAATAAGTTATTACACACCCAAGAAATAAACATTAAGGGGCTGGGGTTGTGGCTCAGTGGTAGAGCACTTGCCTTGCATGTGTGAAACACTGGGTTAGAGTCTCAGCACCACATATAAATAAATAAATAAAATGAAGATATTGTGTCCATCTACAATGAAAACACACACACATATAAACACCATATTTGAGAGGCTGTCCAGTTCTCCAAAGTCTCCGATTCCTTCAAAGAGAAAAATCTGCTTGCAGTTTGTCTTCTGAGTTATGCATCCCATGTTCACCCTTATGGACAGCAGCATCTCTGCTGTTAAAAATAATAGAACTAAGATGATAATAATAATAATAATAATAATACTCAGACCAAGGGTTGGGCTGGTACCTCTGAACTTACTCCAACCCAGAGAAGGGCATCCTAAGTCATTATGTTGATTCCTACATGAGCTGAAATATGAAGTTTTTGCTACTAGAATGGATAAAAATGTATATCAAAACTGCTGGCTATAGGAGAGCAGACCTGGGCACCAGACATTTAAATGTTCAAATAGTTTCATCTCAGAATTATTTATTTACTGGTGTGAGTTGTGTTAAGAAAAATTCGATTGCTTCATTTCCTCCTATGCTTTACTGCCAACACATTGGGACAATACTAACTTGAAATTTTAATCAGTTTTAAAATGTACATAATGAACCGAAGGTCAATGGTCAAGGTGCAGGAAATATGCCCATCAGCTCACCACCAGCCACAGAGATCGTGCGGAGAGATGCTCTCGGTTTCCACTGTACTTTGTTGCAAAGACAGACTTGCTGTCATTTCTTCCTTCTAGGCTTCCAATTTCCACATCTATCTATCAAATGAGGCATTTGGACCAAATGACCTTTCTGGTCTCTTCCTGATTTTGTGGTTTATGGCCCTGTGGGCCCAAGTGTCAGGTGGATTTGTGGCAGTGATGTGGCAGGAAGATACAGTGACAGGACTGTCCAATAGAGAGCGAATGTGAAGCTGGGCACTTGGCGCACACCTGTAACCCAGTGACTCGGGAGGCTGAGGCAGGAAGAACACAAGTTTGGGGACAGCCTCAGCAACTTAGCAAGTCCCTGACTCAGAATCAAAAATAAAAAGGGCTGGGGATGTAGCTCAGTGGGAGAGCACCCCTGGGTTTCATCCCTTGTACCACAAAGACAAAAAAGAAAAATAATGTGAGTTGCAAATTTCATTATAAATTTTAAAAGTTTCAAGCAAAAGTTTAAAAGTAAGAAGAAACAGGTGAATTTGATTTTATTGACATATTCTATTTAACCCAATAAAATTCCATTGATCATCTCAAAATGTTATCAGATAGGAATATTAGTAGTAACTTTCTTTTCATGCTAAGTGTTTGGAATCTGGTATGTAGGCTGCACTCAGGTCACCCTGTAGCCACACTCTCGCCTTATTATGCTGTCAGGATATTATCTGGTGCATCCAGTATGACAAATTTAACTCCAAAACTGGAATCCCTAGCTTATGAGTAAGGGGAGGACTGGAAGGCAGGCAAAGGAAGCAAGGTAGGGAAGAAAGGCTGAGACCCTACTTCCCACAAAGCCCCGGAAGACCCCGTCGCTATCAGCCTCCTTTGTATTTATGCTCTTGAGTCTGGCAGGGATGCCTGTTCTGGTTGAGTCCTGAAGACATGGTTAGTGGGTTAGAGGAGGGCTGCTAAAGGAGATGAGCCACCTACCCACCCTGGCACTAGAGGGGTTAGAGACCAGAGTGTGATCATCCTCATAACCAGGAGTCCTTGGAGCAATAGACACTGGGAGTGGTTTACTGAAGCCTGTTCCTATTCTGTTCTTCCTCCTTTCAGAGTTTCAGCTGATCCTCACTATTGTGGGCACCATCGCTGCCGTCCTCATTCTCGCCTTATTGATTTCATTGGTCTTCTTCACAAGGTATGGACTTTCCCCTTTCCTGTGGACACTCTGGTTTCTAAACACACCGGCCTCTCCTGGGCAGGGGAGGGGACATATGAGGGGAGGCCTCTCTGATGCCGCTTTATTTTTTTTTTCCTGAGTTTTCTTCTGATTGTGTAAGTATACATGATCATGAAAGAAAACCGTAAAAACAGAAATGTGGAAAAGAGCAGAGTAAAAAAGTCACCCACAGAACCCACCATCCTAAGGCAACTCACATTTCAGTATATATCCTTCCAGGTGTTCTGTAAAAGATATTATATACATAGTGTTGCATTCTTTGTGTTTTTAAAATTTTCTGTTAAGGTTTATTTTTCATCAGAGGACATAGCAGTCATTTTCCTGTCATTAAGAATTCTGTGGACAGTTTTTTAACTCCACTGATGCTGTCAAATACAATTTTTACCAAGTCACTCCAATGCCCAGGACCTTGCCACAAATGGTCTAAAATGAGCCCCCATAGAACCCGCTGGGTTTAATGAGGAAGAAACCCATATCTGTGTGGCTGTTTCTCAGCTTGGTGCCTTAGGGAGGTGGAGTAGGGTCCATTCATTTTTCCAACAAATATTTAGGTATGTGGAAGTTTCTCCTATCAGCAGAGAGAGATTGCTATTATCTCTTTTCCATTTTTACATATGCCAAGTGGGATCTACTTTGCTAAAAAAAAAAAGAAAGAAAGAAAAGAAAAGCTACTTTTTTTCTAACATTTAGCTCATACCTTATATTTTGGAAAATAGGTGTTTTCCCACTATAATTGGAGAGGATCAATGGATTTTAGGTTCCTAAAATACTTTATTTCTTCTTTTTCCTTGTATTCCATTTTGATGTTATCTCTTCCCAGAGACTCAGTAATAAGGAATGAAACCTGAGAACTTGCTGTGTGAGCATTCATTCCCCTGGTCTCCAATATTCCTTTATCCAGAGAGAGAGACAGAACATTTCTGGGTCTGGAGCAAGGTTATTCTTAGGAGGAATGATTGATTGTTTTGGACCCCAGTGATTCAGGAAGCTGAGGCAGGAGGATCACAAGTTTGAGGACAGCCTCAGCGGCTTAGCAAGACCCTATCTCGAAATTTAAAAAAAAAAATTTAATTAAAAAGAGCTGGTGATGTAACTCAGTGGTAAAGTGTCTCTGGGCTCAATCCCCAGTACTGGGGGAAAAATAGAAAAGAAAAAAAAAAAGAGTTGCTATGGAAGCTCGTGGCCCCGTGAGAGCCACAAATCTCAGTCCTCCTTCCTGCCCAGAGCCAAGCTTGCTTAACCCAGCTACAAAGTCACGATTGTTGACAATGAAACACAGCTTTTAATTTCATTGCTAGTTTGTAGAGAAGGGAAGCCCTTTCCTCGCCACTTTACACAAGAGAGTGTTGAAGGGCAGGGGCCCTGCTATGGGCTGTGCTGGCCATCAGGATCACAGCCTGAGGGACATTCCCAATGTGATCGAGGCTTTGGTGACTGACACCTGGAAGTACACTGTGAGCATCACAGACCACGTCCCCACTGTCCACTCCCACTGTCCAGGGTACTGCAGAAGCAAGACCAGGGCTGGGGACCAGGAAGGAAACAGGGGTCACCATCAGAGTTATCTGGGGACAATGCCTCCCTCATGGCACGTGCTTACTCTTGACTTTCAATACCTATACTTGAGAACCTTGGGGGACCACAGCAGATCACAGCAGACCCTATTTCTCAATTCAAGACCTTGACCCCTTGAACTCATCTTATTCACCAAGGTGAATATTTCCATAAATAATTGAAAAGTATGTTTTAAGACTATTGATATTCTGCTCAGTGTGGTGGCACATACTTGTCATGCCAGCAGCTCAAGAGGCTAAGGCAAGAGGATGGCAAGTTCAAAGCCAGCTTCAGCAACTTAGCAAGGTCCTAAGCAACTTAGTGAGTCTCAAAATAAAAAATAAAAAAAGAGGCTGGGGATGTGGCTTAGTGGCTAAGTGCCCCAGGGTTCAATCTTCAGTGTCCAAAAAAAAAAAAAAAAAAAAAAAAACCTGAAATTCTTGACAAAAAAAAAGAAAGCTAGTGAAATTCCATGGTAACATTGGGTCAGCTGATATTCATGCCCTGGAACTTATGAGGGGACTGTCCTTAAATGTAGGGGATCTACATTGAATGAAATAATAAAATATTTATTACAAGTGATGGGACATCAGGTCTGCAACCTATTCTTCATGGATTCATTAGGGTTAACAATTGGGAAATTTAGGTGATGGGTACATGAGAATTCTGTAATGTATATCTTTTTATAACTTATGGTGTAAATTTAAAATCATTTCAAAATTTAAAGAACATTTTTAAAGAAAGAACATCAATATTTACTTTGAGGAACTCTCTGCCATTGTTAGATCCTAATTCCTGTTATTGATTACAGGTCAAAGAACAAAAAGAGTGATATTGAGGAAGAGAACTTGATTGACAATGACTTTCAAAATCTGAGACTGCAGTCGACAAGCTTCAGCAACCTCGGAGCTGATGGAAACATCTTCCCCAAAGTCAGAACCACGGCTTCCAAAGACCTCAAGTCTCAAAACCCCTACGGAAACCAGAAAAGAGAGCCTCGCCCGGATTACTAGGTGAGTCCAGGGCCTTCTGCTTGGCTTTTGGCTTTGCAGATTGAGATACCCTAGGGGCTGGGGTTGTGGCTCAGTGGCAGAGTGCTTGCCTCTCATGCATGAGGCCCTGGGTTCGATCCCCAGCACCACATTAAAAATAAGTAAAACTGAGGAAATTGTGTTCATCTACAACTAAAAAGAATTTTTTTAAAAATATTTAAAAAAAGAATGAGGGCTTGGGATGTGGCTCAAGTGGTAGCGTGCTTGCCTGGCATGCGTGCGGCCCAGGTTCGATCCTCAGCACCACATACAAAACAAAGATGTTGTGTCCGCCGAGAACTAAAAAACAAATATTAAAAAAGTTCTCTCTCTCGGGATAGTAGAG